CAATCCCATGCTCTTTGCCATAGACTACAATGGAAAAAGATCTGGAATGAAAAATGCCAACTCTTTCAGGGGAAAAAAAAAAAAAATCTTCAGTCCCTAACATGTCAGATCTAGCCTATCCTTAAAGGTGATACTGGCTTAGTTTTCTCACTGCAGAGAGAGGAGACAGAGACCCAGAAAAGGGCAGATAGGTTTCCCTGGATCAGATGTAGAGCCGTAGCTGGGACTCCATGTTTTTCCCACCACGCTGACTGCCACATTGTGATGGGAATGGCAGGGAGGGGAGTGATGGTAGGTGGGGTGTCGGTCAGTGGGTTGGGGGTGTGGGGGGGGTTTGAGCTAACGAGAAGTTGTTTGCCAAAGCTGTGTGGGGGGAAGGAGCATTTTACAAGACCAGGGCCTCTGGCCTGGAAACATCTGTTTCCCTTCAAGTTAGCGAGGAGACTTTTGCCTCCCCAGAATGCCTAAATCATGTGGCGGCTGGGGAAGAGCAGGCGTTGGTCTGGAGACTTCAAACGCATTCTCCCGTACTCTCGGGGACCTGGGCCTGATGTGGGCCTCTGGGGCTCTATCCCTGCTCTTACCCCCTGTCAGATCCGTGAGAAGCTCTCACCGCCAATTAACTTCTCAGTTTCATTCTCTCACCCCTGCTGCGAGGGGGTCTGGGGGTCTTGGATGGGACCAACAACAGCTTCCTCTCTACCCGCTCTCCTCTGATTTCCACTAGGACAACTTCTTCTGGATGTCTGGTGGGGTGGGAGGGGGGAGGGGTCAGAGCGTTGTGCAGTGTCATAATAACAATACTATTGATGATAATACCTGCAACTGTCTCTCATTGAGTATTTGCACATGCCAGGCATCATAGGGAGCACTTACCCACATCTCTCTCTATTCTGACAACGACCCTATACAGTGGATTTTAATGTCATACTTCCTATTTTACAGGCAAGTAAAAGGGCCTCACACAGTCAATAAATGGGGAGCCAGAATTTAAAACCAAATTGCCTGATTCCAGGTTCATGCTTTTAGCCATTCTGTCACTCTATCTCTTACAATGACCTTTCAAGCAAGTCCCCTTTTGTTCATTTCACAGATGGGGAAGTGGATTTCCAGACAAGGGAACTACTCTTCATAGTTGATTGAATCATTCATTCAGTCTTTCATTCCTTCTGGAAAGTACTTGCCGAGCATTGCGTGATTTAGGTGTCTGAGCACCAGATGTAGGTGGGTGGATAGAGACAGGCTTAGCCAGATTCTGGTCCTGAAGATACATACTTACAGGGGCGAGAGAGAAGCATATGAGCACTGACCCAGGCATGCAGCATGTACAGTCACAGGGCACCATGGGCGGAGAAAGGTTTATTGGAGGAGACGAGGTTTGACTGATGCTCCAAGGACAGGGTGGGAAGGGTCAAGTGGAGAAGGGGAAGGCTGAGCCAGACAGAGGGTGTAGCATGTGCAAAGGCCAAGAGGTAGAATCCATGTTCTGGAACCATTAGCAGTTGGATATGGTTCTACTATGAAACAGAATAGGAAGCAAAGACTGGTAAAACAGGCTGGATGTGTGGCCAGTGTTAATTTGAGGTTCAGTGATACAGTACTGTCTGACGAGTGAAGATCAAGGAGCTGCACTGGGAACCTATAGGAAGGAGTTTGGATTTAGTCCTGAGGGTGATGAAGAAACAGAAAAATACCTTGCATTTGTGTAGTCAATCCCAAGGCACTTGCCCCCACATTGAAATTGCAGTACACTAAAGCCATATTGCTTTAGACATCCAAGATCTCGTAGGCCACAATCTGTGGAAAACCTGGGACATGAACTCAGTTGTTTTTTTTTATTGAAGCATAGTTGATGCACTATATTAAGTTAGTTTTAGGTGTACAACATAGTGATTCAATAACTTTCTACATTATGCTGTGCTCACCACAGGTGTAGCTACCGTCTGTCACCATGCAAGGCTATTATGATACCATCGACTATATTCCCTATACTATACCTTTCACCCCCCCGACCTACTCGTAACTGGAAGGCTGTACCTCCTACTTCCCATCACCCATTTTGCTTATCCCCTTACACCCCACCCCTCTGACCACCACCATTTTGTTCTATGTACTTACATGTGTTTTTGTTTGTTTGTTTGTTTTGTTTGTTCCAGGCACCTTGGCCAGTGTTCTTTCCCCTAAAACAAAGTCAGAGGAAGATTAAATAGCAAGGGTTTGAGCCTGGAGCTTCAGGTTCCTAAAGAGCCCATCCCACTACATCGTTGGAGCCACCTCTTTTGTAATAAAAGTATCCGATAGGTGCAGTGGGACCTAAATCAGCCAGTTGTACCAGAAGCAGGGTAGTGTATAGAAGGAGCACTGGGGGGAGGAGTTAGAAAAGCCATTGTCTACTCTGAACTTCTTAAGAATCTTTCCTCTCTGGGCCTCCATTTCCCTACCTGTAAATAAGGATATGGAGTTTGGTGCTGGCTCAGGGGTTCTAGTTCAAATTATCAGTGGATCTCAGCCTGCTTCAGTGGGCCAAGAGAAGATGGAAGAACTGAGCAGAAGGTAGCTGGCACCCTTCTTGAATCCCCTGAGGAACACCGAGGTCTGCCTGTGCCCTCTCTCGGTCTCTCTCTCTCTTCCCACTTTTCACTCTGCTCTATGGGTGTGTCCCTGTGTCTGCTTCTCAGTCTCCGCTCCCCTCCTGCTTCTCCACATTAGGGGCCTCCACTTTCTTCCCCTCACAAAAAGCCCCTCCAAGCCCTGCCTGGTCCCCTAACAGCTTTCAGATGTGTCTCTGGAACAGTTCTACAATTACAGCTGGGACAGGCAGAAAGCGCTTGGCCTTGTGACTTTTGACCCAAGCCTGTGAGGTTGACATCTTCCTCTTTTTCCACCCCTCCGCCCACACCGGCAGGGTGGCCTGAGGCCTCCTCCATCCCGAAGCCTCCACTGACAACATTTGGTTACCCTAATAACACAAATAGAAGCCACCTTGTAGGGAGCAAAGATTTAGCCAGACCTGCTCCATTGTTGTATCATTGAGTCTTGGTCCCAAACTGTGAGAGATGGAGAATTTCACCCTACTTACAGAGGCTGAAGCCCGGAGAATACTCAGCCAGCAGCTGGGGAAAGCAAGGATTCTCTCCGGGTTTTATAACTTAGAAGTCTAAGACTGCTTCTTCCCCAGCATGCTGTTATTCTTGCTGCTTGGCTAAGCAGAGAGGTGACCCTACACCCTCTTGGTGGAGGAAATGTATTGCAGAAGTACCATGAAAACATAAGTGGCCAATGGGAAAGTAGTGTTTAAAAAAATTTTCCAACTTCTCATGTTTTGAGGCTAATCCACATATTCCATTCACTACATCCTTCCATGTTTCCCTCAGTTGAAATGCATCTCCTCCTCTCCAAGAAAGCATTTTTTTTATATGTGCACTCTTGTACAAATAAGTGCTGTTTACATGGTCTTTATAAAAATCTGCAGCTTACAAGCCACTTCTCACGTATTACTCTATGTAATCTTTGAGACAGTCATGCATTATCTCTACAAGTATCCCCATTTTATTGAGGTAGAAATGATTAAGAAATGAGATGTGATGTGCTCAGATATTTACTGAGTGCCTACTATATATACCCAGTACTGGTAAATGCCAGGAGATTGTTGTACTCAAGCTGTGAAGTATACACCCTCTGGGAGCTGCCGGCTAGGGTTTGGATCTTGCCTCTACCGTGTTCTAGATGGGTTGCCCTGAGGGTAGTAACACCCAGTATTGTCCTTACCTCCCTACTCTGCCACTTGCTTATTCTCACATCCTGGATTTTCTTTGTGATCTTATTTCTAACCCCTCTGCAAGGCTTTTTGATCTCAACTCCCCCTGTGTAGCACTTAGAGATGCCTGATGCAGAGAGATGAAGTAAGCTCAGAGAAGTGAAGTGACTCAACCAAGGTCACAGAGCAAGGGAGTAGAATAGAGCGTGAACCCAAGCCTGGCCATCTCCAAGACCAGGCTCCTCCTTCTGTCACCCCTGCTTCTCTTGACCAAAACAGTGCTGGATGTAGTAAGCACTAGAACTGAGCCCCACTCACAATGCTGAGTTACAGCAGGAGGAGAGAACACCCACATCACGGTGCTATTGTTCTTCTACCAAAGGCAGAAGCCAAAAACCCCAGCAAGCAGATGAATAGACTAGTTTCCTTCTGAAGATGGGGCCAACATACCCCATGTTTAGGCCTCTTAAGACATATATTTTAGGTATAGGCCAGCACTCCAAGCCAGCTAATGAAAGACAAAAGGTGGAATTAGATTTGACAGTGTGCTTAAGTGTATAATCTTTGGATTGAGGCAGACCTAAGTTCTGATCCCCTGTTGCTACTTACTTAATATGTAATAATAGGTGAATTACTTGACCTCTTTGGAACCAATGTCCTTATTGGTAAAATGCAATCACAGTACCCAGCTCATACAGTATATGAATAAAATAACTCCTGGCACACAGTTAATGCTCAGGAAGTGTTTATTAAATGGATGAATCAAAGAATGTGTAAATGAGCATGTCCAGCCAAGCCAGATAGCATTGGGGTTCAGACTGCTCTGTCCCCAAGTAATTGTGAGACCACGGAAAGATACAAAATCAAAGTCTCAGTTTCCTTATTGGTGAAGTACAGATGATCATAATCCCTGCCTTCCAGGCTTGCCTACTTGTAAAATAAGAGTAAATGCAGTAAACATTGGGGTGCACATGCCCCTTTGGATAACTACATTTTTATCTTTGGGGGGAAAAAAAAAAAGAGAGAGTGAGAGTAAATGCAAAGTGCCTGGCAGACAATTGGTGCCCAATAAATGCTTTATTGTTGCTATGGGTTTTTTTCCAAATCTTTTCTCTTGCAGCCTAAGCATCCCTGAATTGTTTTGGCCACTGCTCCTGTACTATGATTTTGTGTTCCACCTTACAACTTCCAGGGCCTTCTCTGAAGTCACAACCCTGTGCCCTGTTTTCTTGTTATGCTGCAGATTCACTTTGTATGCTGTGGATACACGAGGGAGGCACTCAGAGCTCAGCACAGTGACCCTGAGAACGGCCTGTCCGCTGGTGGATGACAACAAGGCAGAAGGTAGGTGACCCATTTCTTCCCCTCCCAGGTCACTCCCATATTTCCTCTAAGTTCTACACCCAGTCACTAACCACTACTCCTTTCCTGCCTTATACACCTATTGGCACCGAGAGAAGAAAGGGAAGGGATTAAGGGGCCAGGAGGAACATGGAGCTAAATTAACCAAAGCCATGAAGGAAATTGAGATGGACTAGCGATATCTTGGCCAGTTGAAAGACTTGCTCCTCTTTCATAGCGTTTTTCTATGTTCTGAGGTAGAGGCAAGGAATGGTAGAAATTATAGCCCCATGACTGTATCCTGCCCCTTAGCCTAAACTTTTTAGAGACCACTTTTTTTCCATTTCAGTCTATGCTAAAACTGGCATATTAGTGACAGTAGAAGACCACTCTACCACTAAGCCCATGGTAGATAGCATTATCTCATCATAGCACACATCTCCATCTAGCCCAGGGGTGGCCTCAGAATCCTCAGCATAGAGCTATAGTCAGTGACTATTGGTGAGAGGTAGCATGCAGGATTAAACCTTTCTGCTGCTCCTGGCCCATGAAGTTGTAAACATCAGGCAAAGTACCTGGAAAAAAAAAAAAATAGAACCAACCAATCAGATCCACCATGTACTTAGCTCTTAGCCAACCTGTAGATATAGTTTCTACATCAGGATGGGCAAAAATGCGGTGACAGATTGTGAGTCCTGATGGTTCACTTCAAGTTGAGCAAATATTTTCTAAGAGCACTGGTATACAAGCAATGCAGAAGAGACATGCTCTTCACCTTTCAGGAATTCACATTCTAGTCTCTCTCTCTCTCTCTCTCGAGAGAGAGACTGACATTTCTACAGATGGCTTAATAATAAGCTCAATAATACATGCTTTGCGTGCTATCAGACAAGAGGAGATAGTCCCCCTATTGAGGAGCTAGCACGTCTCAGAGGTGAGGGGATGTGAGATGGTTTCCTGGTCATTTATTATCATCATAATCGTCATCGTTATTATTATTTTAAAATAACATATGCATGTAGTTAAAAAAATAAATAAATAAAAACCAGAGTGGAAATAGTGCAAACCAAATGCTCTTCCCATCCTAAACTCGAGTCTTCCAGATTCTTCTAGAGGCAATTGCTGTTAGCAATGACTTGGGGATGTACATAAATTTTTATTAGAGTCTTCACAGGTGAAAGAATGGGCCTTCCATTCAAGGGAGCAGCCCATGATGACTCTAAGTTACATCAATTACTAGGAATGACTGAAGTTGCTATGAATTGCCATGGTTTTTCTTTGAAAGATTTTTGAATGGAGACCTATTAGACCTGATCACAGAACTGTGTTGGAAATATTACAGAGGGGAGACAGAAGTAGACTATTGAGATGAGCCCAGGACTGTTGATTTAAGCCTCTACACTTGTTTGGAATTTTATGTTAAATCATGGGTACCAAATATATGTTAATAATGAAGCTTGCAAATTATGAGTACTAACTTTGTGCCAGGCCCTGTGTTGAGTACTTTACATTCACTGTTTAATTTTGTCCTCCCAGCACATCTCCAAAATAGACCTCATTATTTTCAGTTGATAGATAGGAAAACTGAACCCAACTAGTCAATGATGTTCGGGAGGGAATTAAGGTCTGTCTGCCTTCGGGTACTGCGCATGTGAATTCCAGCATGAATGTGCCTTTCTTGCTGCAAGGCATGTTTCCATCCTCACTTTTTCCTGCTGTCCAGTGATCTGTGCCTGCACCTCTCCCCCCTCAGAGATAGCAGACAAGATCTACAATCTGTACAATGGGTACACAAGTGGCAAGGAGCAGCAGACTGCCTACAACACGCTGATGGAGGTCTCAGCCTCAATGCTGTTCCGAGTCCAGCATCACTACAACTCTCACTACGAGAAGTTTGGCGACTTTGTCTGGAGAAGTGAGGATGAGCTGGGGCCCAGGTATGAAGAAGGGGTGTGTGAGTATGAGTGGAGTGGTCTTGCTTCTATCTGATTTTATTGGACCCTTTCTTCCATAGGCTGAGAATGGGCTTTCTCATATAAATATGGGTGTCATCCACCTTAGTCATGTCAGGGTTAGAGATGGAAAATGGGCAGGGAGAATGATAGAATCTCGGAATTTTAGCTTCTTGGACTCCTGGAATGTCAGAAAAGAGAGAGACATCAGCACTCTTTCCCTCAGTCACTCCCCTCACCTATCTTCCATCTTCAGTGTTAGAGACAGGAACCTTGGACTCCTGGAGGAGATGTGTCCTAACCAGGATCATGGAAGAGTATAGTGGCAGGGTCATGGCCCCAAATCTAGGGCTCTTCCCACTCTTCCATAAGAAATCTGAGGTTTTCTAGGGGCACCTGGGTGGCTCAGTCGGTTAAGGGTCTACTCTTAATTTCAGCTCAGGTCATGACCTCAGGATCATGAGATCAAGCCCTGCATCAGGCTCTGCACTGGGCATGGAGCCTGCTTGAGATTCTTTTTCTCCCTCTCCCTCTGCCCCACCCCCCGACACACTCTCTCTCCCTTTCTAAAAAAAAAAAAGAAAGAAAGAACGAATGAACGAACTCGGAGGTTTTCTAGAATGAAGTCCATTAGTGACCGTGACTAAATACATTCCTAAATTCAATGTGTATTAAGACATGATTTTTATCACCAGCTGTGACTATGCCAACCATTGTACTAGGCACCAGCGAGGATTCAAACATAACTAAGACACCGTCACTGTCTTCTGAAGCTTCATAAAGTAGTGTATGAAATGTGGCTGTGTTTCATGCCTTACACCTAACAACATTCCGTCATTCATTCATTCATTCATCACTTACTCAGTAGTGCCTCTTACCAGTTGGTTGTTGACCATGCAGTGACAAAAAGGGAGAAGCTCACTGTTGGAGGTAATTAAATAAGCACTGCAAAGAATAGGAATAATAAGTATAATGACAACAGAATAGGGCCCTCTGGGGAGGCAAGCCATAGACATCTGGTCTAGGTAACCCAGTGAAGCCTTCACCAGGGCTGAGACTGAGGCCCACAGAGTGAATAGGGGTCAGACAAGAGGAAGGACAGGAAGATTGGAGGGTTTGGGGCAGAGTGATGAGCTGGGGGAATCGACAGAGGAGATAGTGTTACATTAGGGCAGGGTTTCCCTCAAATTTTCATCATTTGTCTGCCACTTTTATGATTTTTGACATAGCACCATACCCTAAGCACTTTTTGTTTTGGTATTTCTTAGATTGACTTCTCATTGAAAATCTACTATTGTCATTTTATAAAGGGAAAATTAGCACCATCTACCTTTAATGGAAAATTAATTGTAAACATTTGATACAGTGGAAGGGAAACAAACAGACAAAACCAGGAAACAATGCTCTTCAATCCTAGTAGAGCCTGAGGCTGTGCCTGGGCGCTCTGCTCAGCGGGGAGCCTGCTTCTCCCTCTCCCTCTGCCTGCCACTTCTCCTGCTTGTGCTCTCTCCCTCTCTCTCTCTCTATCAAATAAATAAATGAAATCTGTAAAAAAATAAAAAGGAGATTAGCAAGTGTTAGAGAAGTACTGAAGACATAGTCTCAAACTGAGCCTTTTCTTTTTTAAAGTTATCTGGAGGAGGGGAAGAGAATGAAAAAGAGAATTTGATTGCCTTTCCCAGTGTGGTTCATTGTTGTTTAATGCTGGGTCTGTGATCATCTGGAGCACCACCTAAAATCCTTTCTCCTGCCCCTGGGGAACTCCTTCTACACTTTGGTAAACACTGGGTAGAGGAACTGAAGAATTTCCCTGTAGTTGGAGCAAAGTGTGTGACAGCAGGAGTGGTCAGGGATAAGAAGGGAAAGGTCAGCAAGGGCCCATCCTGAATGCCCTGTAAGTAGGGTTAAAGAGTTTGGATTATCTCCCTAGAGTAAGGGGAAGCTTTTCAAGTGTTTTTCACAAGGGGTTGATATTGGCAGATCTTCAGGGGGAGAAAGATCCCTCTGACCACAGTTGGAAGTTTAGACGGTCAGTTGAGAGGAGTCAAGGCAGGAGGGAGGTGGTGAGGCCCTTGGGGCCAATCTTTTAATAACCCAGGGGAGGTGGTGTTCTGCAATAGGATGGTACTGATAGCATGGGAGAGAATCACCTGACTTCCTGAAGTACTTAATGGGCGGCACTCTGTCCTTTAAAAAGCTTTAAAATTTCCCTGTAAACTGGGCAAAGTAGGGTATTCTCATTTTGTGGATGATAGGAATTGGAGGCCCCATGAGGTTAAATGAGCTGCCCGTAGTTCCACAGTTTGATAAGGAGGCTGGTTCTGCCCTGAGGTCTCACCCTGAGCCCTTAGAACACTTGGAATATCCCTGCAAGGATTTGAGGCCCTCAAGGGAACAGATGAGAGCTTGGTCAGGGATAAAAAAGATCTCTCCCTGGAACAGACCTTATCTGCCCATTGGGTCCTGGACTGTAACTTTTTCTATTTCACATGAAAGGAAGCTTCTTTAGATAAAAGCTAAAAGAGGGCAGACAGGCAGAAGCACAGAGCCCCAGATGAAAGCCACTGTGTGAGTCATCTGGGCTGCCATCTTGCCCATGGACAGGGAAAGGCATCCCACTTTATTGGGCTTTCCCACAGGGCTCAGAGAGTTTGGGTGGAAGCTAAACCAGAACTCCACTCCTGACTTTGTCTTTATAGCCTTCTGTCTTTATAGCCTTTATGACCTTCCAGGACATAAATCTTCTGGAAAGGCTGCCTGGCCTCCCACAGAGGCAGGCAGGACAACCCACTTGGTAATGGACTGTGATAACCCACTAACCTCTGGCCAACCCATCACCAGTCACTGTCTGCCAACCCTGATTGGTGTCACCCAGTTTCCTCCCTCCTCAGTCTTTCTAGTCTCTAGAGGGGATATGAGATTCCATCCCACACTGGCATGTCAGCAGGAATCAAGATAGCTGCATCCTAGTCTATCCTAACACTACTAATGAACTCACTGTGCAAACGTGGGCTCTGGCTCTCTCTGGCCCTCAGTCTCCTCATCTATAAGATGATCAGGATGAACTAGGGCAGTGGTACTCTTTCTTTTTAGCAGTGGAATTTTTTTTTCTGAATACATCTTACGTAGAACCCTAGATCTTAACTAGAATGCTACTTTCTCAGAGAATCCTCTAAAATTTCTACCTGTTCTCTCAGTCACACCTTCCTGTTTTAATTTTTTGCATCATGCCTACTAGTTTCAGTATCTCATGTTGCTTTTGTGTTTACTGTTGTGTTACCTCTCTTTTAGACTATGATGTCAACTTCTGTGTGCTTAATGATTCTTTATGTTCTAGTCACTCTTGTAAGTGGGTGCTAAATAATTACTTGTTAAATAATTGGATAATGGGATGAGTGAATTTGTGGCTCAGATGGTTGCACAGTTTTTCTGGTAGAAGCTAGAGAGCGTGGCCTGGAGTCCCACCTGCTGGGTCTCCATTTCAAATCCTCTTTGCCCCAATCCCAAGGGACTCTTAGGTCTCTCTCTGAGCTCTTAAAGATCTGTAGGTCACAGTTGGAAACAATTGAATTCCACGAACTCAAAGGTCTTTCCAGCTCAAAAATAGCAATCAAAAAATGCATTGTCCCTGCAAATATTAAGAGACCCAAGGAGACCACATTTCATTAATTTATTTATTCATTGATTCTTTTAATGTGCTTACTATATGGCAGGCTCTGTGCTATGGGCTGGAAATGTATGAATGAAGAAGACAGATCCTGCCTTTACAAGGAGCAGCACCTAGTGAGGAAAAGTCTGTAGGCAGTTGCAGTGAAACATGTTATAAGAAGCATGCTATAAAAAGGAGGGTGGGAAGTTTGTTTTCCAGTAGTGCTTCTCCAGTTTGAATGTGTATGAGAATCCCCTGAGAGCCTTGCTAAAATTCAAATTGACTTAAGTGGCTTAGGATGGGCCTGAGATTCTGCATTTCTCATAAGCTGTCAGGTGATGCCCATGTTGCTGGTCCCTATAGCACATTTAGAGTGACAAGGTTCGAGACTGGAATAGTTGGCACAGCTATCCAGACCTGGACCTCAAAGGAGGATCCATGGAGAAGAAAGCAAAATCTATGCCTAGCATCAAAGGATGAATGGGAGTCCTCCAGGCAGACAGGGGAGGATATTCTCATCCAAAGGAACAACCAGTGCAAAGATGAGTGTTGGGGTGGGTAGTTAAGAGGATATACTTGAGTCAAGAAGTGCAAATCTCATTGGGACAGAGAGTTCAAGGTGAGAGGGGAAAACAAAACAAAAAAACCAAAGGCTGGGAGGTCAGCAGAGGGCAGATCATGATGGCTCTTGTGAGTCCTGTTTGAGTCCCAAAAGTCAGGTAAAGATTTTAAACAGGAGCAGTTTGGGTAAATGTGCCATGACTCTGAAAGATTCACAAGTATGCATGATTTCAAAGTGTAAAGGAGAGAGAGTGAGACACTGCCCTGGAGCCAGGGACCTTGGGTTCCTGTCCTAGGTTTGCCATCCACTTACTGTGTGACCTTGGACAAATTCCACTGCCATTCTGGACCCCATTTGTAACATTAGAGGTCTGGACTCCAAAGTCCCTTCCAGCTGGGAAGTCAGGGAACCAGAAAGCCCTGAAGGTCATAAAGACCAGAGAACAGGCACATCCTGACTGTCCTTTCCCCTCCAGTCCAGCATGTCCTGATTCTCAGGGACCGAGGGTGGCCAGGGTGTTAAGAGCTCTTCCCAGGAGGACTCATACCGTGGGATGAACTCTATTAGGATTCTCTTGGCCTCTAATCAGCAAACCCCAAAATGTTCTGTACTTCTCCCTGTATCTTTAGTCACATACCTCCATAAAATTTAGTTACAAAAGGACATCTTTTACGTCTGCCTAATGAGTCTATCAGGCCAGTGTCCTCCAGAGCCTGGTTCCCGTGGCAGCCACAGGTACCACAAACAGCTGCTCAGAGAAGACCTGCTGATACC